CACCGAGGATGCTTCGTGGTGGCGGTTCTTTGTCTTCGCACGGATTTCTCGGACAAGGAGGCAACTTCGTCTTTTTTGCCATTCCACCTCGCGATCGCAACATCGAAGTCATCGAGTCTGTGAACTTCGCGTTCAATCGAGTTTCATGTGAGAATTTTTAAATATTGCATTTATATATAGATACGTACGCGTCTATACAGACGTTGTGAAAATCCGACACAATTACCCGACACACGCTATTATGAGAATATTTTTCACCCTTCATAGACGTGCGCATATTAATTGAGAATTTTTCCTGTCGATTCAAAAGTATTTAAAATTTTAGCACAGGTTTAAGAGAGATAGTGGGTATTATGCATTTAGGTATTTTCGTCTTCTGGCTCATTGTGTTTTCAAAATGAGTAAAATACAGTAGCTTCTCCATCAGATAATAATGCTCTCATATATGAATGATAATTTAAGGAACAAGTATATTTCCCGCAGAGGACACTGCATTCATTTCATAGGTAAACATTTTGGAGAAACAATGATCAAATGAATAAAATAAAATAGTCCTCTACAAACAGTTCATGAGATCAAGGGAAAGTCTAGGTGAAAATAGGCATTTTGACAATTCACCCTGAAGTTTTAAGCTATGTTAGAAAAAAACTGGCTCAATATTCGAAAAAAAATCGGTATTGGATGGAATAACAGGCTGATCCTTAAAAAAAATTACATTTCATCAAAAATTAACTTCACTAAGGGCAAAATACAGTAATCATCTCCGTTTTGAAACAGTTAATTGTTTTGTCCTTCAAAGCAAAAAGTAGTTCCGAGCTTCGACAATGTTTTCACATTTCGGAACCATGGTAATTTTTATGTTTCGTTGGTAGACTTGATGTTGATGTTGATGATCACGGAATTGTTCAGAGTAGATTTAAAATTTTTATTTTAAAATACTGCAACATGAAGATCTGTCTTGAATTTATTTTTCCAAAATATTCAAGGCCTGCTTTTTTTTTATTAAGAAAATAACCTTCTGAGTGAGTCCATTGTCCATCAAGTCTCCGTCCTTAAGTCCGTCCATTCTCTTGACTTGGTCGACAATTGCTCGTGACCAGGACTGAACTTCGTCGTCATTGACACTAGCGGCGGCGCATTCAATCCAGGAGGTGGCGGCACAACGGGAATTATTAGCCGCCCTGGCGTTGTTCGACAGTGCTGTCGACCTGACCGAATGACGTGCTTGGGATTTGCTAGCAGCTAAACCCCGACTGTCGCTGCTGTTGAACATGTGCGACAGCGTGGACGACTCCGAGTGCGACTCACGGCTATATATCCCAGAGATTTTTCTTGTAATTTTTATAAATATTTGACTTAGTTGATTTTTTCATTTGGTTTTTTTTTGAATTTTGA